AAAGAGAACACCATCGGTCACAAGAAAATTCATCCAAAACCTGAAAGCCATCCTCACTGGAAAGTTGTGTGTATTCATACCATCCCATTCAGGTTGGGTATATTCTGTCTAATCCATTTCAAGAGCAAGAAGAACTGATTAACTTCCCGCGGACATGGATATATCAGAGGTGACGAGAGCTCTGTTGCTACAGCCCACGCGGAGCGCTGTCGAGCGCACTTTCATCGTGTGCAGCGTGGGAAAAGCGCACACGTGTCCTTCTGTGAGGTGACTCATCGTGGGAATGTAAGCATTCTCAGCAGACATTTAGCTAGTACCTGTGTTGACAGCATGGGGAATCTCAGTGTACAGCCGTAAACGAACAGGAAAATCGGGTAGTTCTTTCATACCACTTACCACTTCCACAAATTTCCCCGGTATTCCAAGAAATAACTTACTTCAGTAGTACATGGTCTCACACCCCTCGATGTTTCGACTGAGTTCGAAAAAAAAACAACGAAACGCAGCATTCGCAATCTTAAGCAACAGAGCGGCGGCCGCATAGACCATCCTTTGTTATCCCAAGGACCGGCATAAAATTCTTATCAGCAAACCATTTGAATTTAGAGTGATGAGTACATAGAAGAGTAGCGGGCATGACTCAAGGGCGGTGTGGACTGCAAGCTATCTGGACGGAAAATGAAGAATGTTTCTAAGCTCTATCTAAATGCGCACGGCGATAGCATTTCAAAGAAAACGCATGACTGAGGGATCGAATAAAAAACGAAAACTTTTGACAACAACTTGAACTAACTCAGTGATCCTGCGACACGCACAACAACATAGAGGAGGGTCCGAAATGGATGAAGGTTGATCAAACGCTGCTCGGGAGTACGCACATTTTCAGAAGCGGCTAAGTGTTGTAAGAGTAGGGTGGGATCAGGATCCGTTGAAAAGGAAGTGTCGCAGACCAGGGCCACCAAACGTTCACTTTCATGTGAATAGAAGAGCGACGGCTCAGGTGTGAGACTGAATTTAATAGACCCATAGAGGATAAACTCCGTCATCTTCTCTGCCAGACGCAAGATTTGGTCTAGCAAGGAGCTCGGGAAGCTCGGGAAGAAGCCTAAACGAAACAAAGGTTGAATATATGATTGCTACTTTATGTCATTTAAGTAGAACTTAATTCTTGATAAAGACGTGGTCACTTGCCTTGAGCGTCAACAAGGACGACATTTAGGAATTGGACAATCAGCTGGAGGGAAGGGGTTTGTCAAATATCAGCGGTTACCATGCTTAAATTTCTCAGATACTGATTCCGCACTTTATAATCCACATTGTCCACTAGGGAAAGGGCGGCAAGAGAGCGCCGCCAACAAGTGAACAGCTCCTCAAGGAAAATAAACGTCTCGGTGCAGCTAAGATTGTGAGAAGGGCGCAGCTGAAGTTGAAGAGGAAGAAGTGTTTGTTTGTTAATGGACAAAGCTTACACTACAAGAAAAAAAGAGCTGGCCATAAAATGAGGGGAATGAAACTGGATTACTTGGGGCGGCAAAGAACTCGAAGTTCATGGAGTGCGCAGTTGGATATTGGACGTACGGAGGAAAATAATCGTCATAGCCTTGAGTTCTTGCAAGTTTCATCTGCAAAAAGCCAACCTTTGATGCCGTGGATTCAAAGCCCACCGAACCCGCCCAGTTTTCTCACAACTTGGTCAAATAAATTGTTCGAATCTGCCAAAACACCTATTAAGTGAGCCTCGTAGTCTTTTGTTGCTTGCGCGGTTAGTTTACTCTATCACATTTAGTGGAGTCCATAAGTCGCAGCCGACTGGGTGGGCAACTTGACCCAAATGTGATTAAACTCAGGGCTGCCAGTGGACCTCGTAGCTCAGGTAGGTGGAGCGTTGGTTGGA